TGAAGATAGCTCTCTTTGATGAAGCCTCATGCAACTCGATAGCAGCAATAGCTACGGACCTCCCACCTCTTCCTCTACTTGTGATATTCGCCATAATGAAGATCTAATGCTCACTATGATCAGCAAGGCTCTCAGTACGACGGAACGGCAAGCGCTGGTGCAGGTCCTTTCCCGGCATGTTGATGCTTTCGACTTCAAACATAGAGATGCACCCCTTTAGTTACCCTCGTCCCGCGCTCGCCACAGAATAGAAACTGGCTCTGCACACCCCATCCGCCAAAAGCCCTACCGAGTGTCATCCTCTGAGCGCAAAGTTATCGCCGAACAAGTAAAGGACATGCTGAACAAAGGGGTCGTGCAAGAGTCGTCCAGCCCGTGGGCAGCTCCGGTAATTCTTGTCAGGAAAAAGGATGGTTCCTGGAGATTCTGCGTAGATTACAGGCGTCTAAACACTGTGACGAAGAAAGATGTATATCCCTTACCACGGATTGATGATGTCATAGATTGCTTACATGCCGCGTCCTATTTTTCAACGCTTGATTTGCGGTCAGGTTATTGGCAAATACCTATGGAACCCAGCGACAAAGAAAAGGCTGCTTTCATAACTCCGGATGGCTTATTTGAATTTATTGTCATGCCTTTTGGCCTTTGTAATGCTCCAGCCACCTTCGAAAGATTTATGGACACAGTATTACGTGGTCTAAAATGGGAGATATGCATGTGCTACCTTGACAATGTTGTGATCTTTGGCCGTACGTTTGAGGAACATAACAACCGTCTCAGTCTTGTTCTCGACTGCATCGAAAAAGCCGGGCTGGTTCTGAATTCTAAAAAACGTTGCTTTGGCGAACGTCAAACTCTCGTGCTGGGGCTCTTGGTCGACAAAGATGGCGTCAGACCCGATCCTCGAAAGATAGAAGCAGTGAGCTCTTTTAAATCACCGCAGTCCGCACGAGACCTTCGCTCATTTGTCGGCCTATGCTCATATTTTCGTCGTTTTGTTCCACGATTCGCGGAGATCGTGTATCCGCTGACAAACATCTTGCGACAGGATGCAACCTTCAACTGGACGCCAGAGTGGGACGCCGCATTCTCACAACTTAAGTTTGTACTAACGTCAGCACCACTGTTGCGTCACTTCGATCTATCTTGCCCGACTGAGGTCTACACGGACGCTAGTGGTATCGGTGTAGGCGTGGTGCTTGTACAACGTCACAATGGCGCAGAGCATGTCGTGGCATATGCCAGCCGTTGCCTGAGCAAATCAGAACGCAATTACACAGTTACGGAACAGGAATGTCTGGCAGCTGTTTTCGCTGTACAGAAGTTTCGTTGTTATCTTTACGGGAGGCCATTTAAGATAATTACCGATCACCATTCGTTATGCTGGCTGGTCGGTTTGCGTGACCCATCTGGCCGCCTCGCACGTTGGGCGCTGCGACTTCAGGAATACGACTTTACGGTGTCGTACAAGAGTGGCCGTCCTCACGCTGACCCAGACTGCCTCTCCCGGATTCCTCTTGCGACTACTGACTGCGATGCTGAGAATTTTGACGACTGCCTTGCTGCTGTTACAAGCACGTTCCCCAACGCAGCTGATTTCCAGAGAGAACAACGCAACGATCTCAACTTGGATCCTCTTTTTGCCGCCGCACGTGCCTCTCAACACAGCGGTCGCTTTACTGTCCGAGACAAGTTGCTCTATAAAACTAACTACACCAGACCTGGAGCACGTTTTCTTCTAGTTGTCCCCGAGAGCCTTCGCTCCGATGTTCTACGTGCCATGCATGACGATGCGACGTCCGGTCACTTCGGCTTTATTAGAACGCTGAACCGCACGCAGGAACGCTTTTCCTGGCCCAAGATGTACGAAACGACGAAGCGTTACGTCGCTAGCTGCGAGACGTGCCAACGTCACAAGCGCCCGGCCACCGCTACACCAGGTCCCCTTCAGCCGTTAACACTACCCAGCACCTCCACCACAACTGTAACAGCGAGCTGTGATAAGATGGTTTTATTTACAGGATGTGAACGATGGTCGTTTGCGGCAGCACACTGCGATCGTGCCAAGACTCTTCGTCTTCCTCTGCTTCTCTTTTCTACCTTTTTCTAGTCTGTTACAATATTATTTCATTGGAAGTGTGCATTCAATTGATGTTTCAATAGCGTCAGGTTTCACTTGCTTCTTGAATATTGAAAACTAATAAATAATTGTGAATTACCAACAGTCTAGCCAATTTCATCAGTGGGTATGAGCCTGTTATAGATGCAGCAATATTAAAGCGGTTAAATTATTTCATTGTCTAAAATTCTGACAGCCCCCTTTGCCTGCAAAATATTCTCGAACTGTACTTGCTGTTGTACCCTTGACATCAGTGCAACCTTTGTGGCGCACTCTCGGATAAGATGAAAAAAAAAGCTGCTACTGCATGATCAAACTACTGAGAAAGACAGCTACATTACCATCATCAACAGTGGCTGAAGACGCTGATGAGAACAAAATTGTCGCCTCCTGCTGATGCATACTGGCGTGTTTGCGCCTTGACACTGAACCTCGGCAAGACAGCGCGCCTTGCGAGTCCTAGGGGAGACGTTGGCGCCTGCGTCACCATCCGCACCACCGCTCTGACCGGCAATACCACAGCCATCAACTGACACCATGTCTTCGAGGAAATCTAAAGGCGCGAACGCATCACAGATGTCGCAAGGCAAGCCCAGCAATAAGAGTGGGTTTGATGTGCTCTCCGCCGAAGGCAACGACGACACCAAAAATGGCAAGAAGCGGAAGAAAAAAAGCGACGAGAACGACGACTTCGAAACGACCACACATATGATGACAACAACGCAGGGGACACTCAACGCACTGAACAAAGAAGGAAAGGGTCCTTCACCCGCTTCCGGTCGCCGAAAAAGCACCACCGGCGGTGAAGTTGCAGGCCGCCGGAAAAGTACGAGTTCCGCTGAGAAAACGACACCCTCGAATCGCAGGAAGAGCATGAGTGCCATCGAATCGCCCTCAATGGCGCGCCGCAAAAGCAATGTTCCTGATGGGGGTCGAAGGAAGAGCATAGCCTCTGCGTTGGGAGGGCCCCCTCAAGGTATGCCAATAGGACCGATGGACCCAAGACATATGAAGAACAATCTCGGGCCTTCCGACATTAGCAGTCTCACCTGCAGCTGTCAGGATTGTTGGTGCCGATGCTGCCAGGAACTTCGTGACCCCAGCAAGCAGTGGCTGGGTGAGGCCGGGGAGAACAATAGGCAGGAAAGCACTCGCATTGAAACAGTGCTGCACTTTGGCAGGTGTGACTCCACGGGCATGCCACTCCAAAACCAACCAAGCCTCTCCAAGGTGACGTCGGAGCCGGCGCTAGGGCAATACGGCAGCCGGAGAACGAGTGCCGTGGCGGAAGGCAACGACGACGTGAACATCACCGTCCGCACCAGCAAGTCTCACTCGGCAATCGACCAGGCGTCGGGAAGTGACAGCGACATCACTGTCAACATAAGGGTCGTTTTCCGAGATTCGCACGGCGAGGAGGCTTCGATGACGTCCGTGGTTCGCGCTCGTGCGGATGGCAGGGAGGTCCGGCCGCACGTCGTCAGGTCGACGCCCGGTCACGCCGCCGTCGATAGTTACCCGGGAGTCGACGAGGTCCACATAAAGGTCTCGTCTGGAGACGCACCAGGCCCGGTGAAGTCTACCGAAGCTGTGACTCGTGTTCCCGCAGCGACTTCCAGAAGTCGGGAAAGTCTCAGCAGGGAAGTGGTGAAGCCGGTGCGTCTCAGGACCATGCTGCCGCCACCGCAATCGGCACCCACCATCGAAAACGAGCGTGACAAATGGGCTGGAGGCATTGAGATGCTAGACGTGCCTGCTCTAGACTACGTTAGAGTGAGTTACTCCATTAACGGCTCGTCGTTCAGGGACTCCGAGACTGGAATATCCGTAGATATAGGACCGCCTGATCAAAGCGGCTCGGGGTCACTGCCCCCGGCAACACGTACCACCGGGTCCGCTGAGCGCTTGACAACACGTGGTACCGGGTCCGCTGAATGCTTGGCGCTGGCTGACCTGGAAACGCTTAGCGCGAACTTGTTGAAGAAAGTGCAGAATCTCAGGCGTATACACATGGAGAACAAGGCGAGGCGCGGCATGGGTGGTGTACCGAATCGTGGCACGTTTCCAGGACCGCAACCCTCGCCCTACGCTGCGGCAGGAATTGGGGGCGCTGTCAGTGGAATGTCCACGCATTCTCAGGGCGAACGTTCCTCGAAGAAACGAAAGAGGTCGAGAAAATCTAAGGGCTTTCAAAGTACAGAGGCCTAGCTGAAGCGCTACATATCTCCATGGTGAAAGAAACTGTGTGTTGAATACGCAGCAATATCGTAAGAAGGCAAGTCAATGCAGCGGCGACGAGTGGGGCAAATACTATTACGTTCGTCAGATACCATTAACGTCCGCATTGGTGTTAAGCTTAGTGTCATTGAATGCGATCGTTGTGCAATGTAATGGTACCTTATATAACGTGTTGGTATAAGAATTTGATAAAAATTTCGGCGCATTTCACTTTGCAATTTTCATTCAAGAGACGAAGTGCAATTAACTTCTCCTGAACGAAAAAAACTATTTGCGTAGTAGATATCGAAAGTGCGAGCTACCACCTGACCATGTGACCACATTTTATTGTGATGTTAGATGACATCCTAGTGAACAGTCAGTGTGTATACAGAACTTTAAATTGAATATTTGAAATATTTTAACGAAACCTTGATGCGAATAATAATTTACATTTCAATAAATGTTGTGAAACAACCAATATTAAGAGGGACATACGAATGACGTCTCGCTGTTAGCAACTACAGGTGATGTGAATGAATGTTTTTTTTTCTGCTTGCAAACGGCTAATGCGCTTACAGAGCTGGTGGGGTCATCGTTTTGTGTGCTTTTTTGTATCTGTTATTTAGCTGATCTAGCCAGAGATCGGTGAGCGCAAATACACGAATAACTCGTTTATTTCACACTTTCTCATCTCCAAAAGTAAAACTCATTTTGCTGCTCATACAAGAGTTTCAGAATATGGGCAGTTTCGCTACAATGACATCATCATGATAAAAGGCGCAGAGGCCAAACGCAGTATCAAAGATCGAAGCAAATCACAAATTGCTATTCAACATCCAATTAGGCTTTTAGGCGTGCCCAGAAACAGTGCTGGCCCGTAGCCAGGGATGGTGCCCTAGCCTCCCACTCCCCGCCTCAATTCCAGATGGAGAGGGATATTATACCAAACTAAATACCGAAAATGAATGTTCACAAATTTTTCAACAAGCCCCTCCCCCCCTCCCCCAACCCGAAAGAAAATTCCTGGCTAAGGGCCTGAAACTGTGAGCACGAGAGTTAGCACTCAACATTGCTCAAAACACCTGTTTCTATTCAGGAAAATCTTCGTAAGGCCCATACGCGACACGTAAATTATCACAAGATAAGCATATCAATCACACTTCAGGACCATAGACAGGGCGACATCTTCGACATGCAAGATCCCCATTTTACTGAGAATCGGGGTAGCGAACCGGAAGCTCGTCTTGTTAACTTCCCACTCTTTCCTTCCCTCTCCTACACTCCACCATGCCATGAGATTTAGAGTTGTTTATTATGAGATTACTTAATGCGTCACGTGCCTTTCCTCATATAACTTAGAAATCGGGTACCGAATTAACAAACTTCTCCCTTTGAAGTGCGTTTTCCCGTTGGTAAGCCAGACTCGCTAATAGTATGTGCCGCATCATCATCGGTCATATTATTCTCTGGTGAAAATTATTAGCGTAGTAAGTTTCTATGAACACGCGCTCATAGTTGTAGATGTAAGACTTTCTTCTTTTTTTTCGAACAATTTTGATGCTTCCACAATAAAGGGTCACGTGAGGGAAACGTTCTTTTTGTTGTACTTTGAAAAACCATTTCACACAACTAAGAACACAATTGTTGTGGCAGGGAAATGCTTGGTAAATCATAGAACGCGCAAAGAGAGAAAATACGCAGATGGCTCCGCCGCCTCCTCGAGTTTGTCTCATTAGTTCGCCGTAGCCTCATAGATATTGACAGCGTATGCTTAGGACCTATTGGTATTTCATATTTGTAAAAATAAATAGCGTAATGTTCTAAGGGAGCCGTATGCATCGCAAAGGAAGTTTGAGAAAAAATTATATTAAGCTAATGATATTAAGCTCTCATAAATCAACTTCATAATCGATAAAGTCACGCTGACCTTCAACTGCTCAGATTCTCCGGTGACATTAAAAATGAAACCTCGATTTTCAAGTCCTTTTTAACAAAGAAACTGTGATAGAAATTGAAGAGTAAGAGAATTTTCAAAGAATGACTAATCATTCAAATACTATAGGCCACTGTTTCGCGCCGGTGTTTCAACGAATGGTATACCAAAAACTGTCATAATGAACTTGCGTGTGGTTGCAGTTGTAGCTAGCCAGCATCATTTAGAGTTGCATGGTTTGGTTGTACCAAGAAACTCCTAAGTGGCAAGAACTCTTACACTTCCTATTTGACCAGTCAGCCACAAGTTTATTAGACCGTATATTTGCCGGACACCATCCAATCACATTTCATGCATCCAATGTTTGTGGTGTGTCTAGTAAGCAATGCATTTTAGCGAAAGTGGGCCGATGGAGTTTCGAAGCCTTGTGAATATTACGTGACACGGCTATCTTTCTAAGTTTTTAAAGACCTTGAAAATCGAACGAGCTTTCCAGAAGTAGCGCAGGCATGCTGTACTTAGTTACACAAGTACATAGTTTCCAGATACAATTCTTCAACCTTCGCGGACTTTGCGCCTAGACATTGTTCAACGTCTTTGAGAACCACGGGGATGCGATTCACAGCTTGCAAAACGCTGCTTTGTCAGATAGGCTGCAACATCTCTCGAGGCGCTGCTGCTGGCGTACATATCAAAGGTGCGTCTTCCAAAGATCTTGACGATGAAGAGGAAGCTGCATGATCACATTCTCATCTCGCTCAGGTCCATAGACTTCCTCCAGACGTATCCAGCCTGCTTCATGTGGTCTGACACAGCGATGGAGTTCAAGTGCTGCATGCGAGGAAAGAAAAAAAAACTAATTATATGGCAAGTGACTGCTTAAAAAAGAGAAACTAGGAGTGTTCATTTGCAGGCCGAGTTGTCATGAAGTCGTGCGTTCATGCCAAATTTCTATTTCTATGTTCATCATCTTGCACCTATACTCATCGGTTGACAAACTGAAGGTAGTTTATGGCTTATTTTGTTACAATTTATAACTGGTAGTATGCAATTAAAAAAAATCTAATAACTTACGCTCTGGTTCATATTATACCATATGCACAATTGTTGCTTGTAGACTGGATCTTTAGGAGGAACAGATGAGATTCCCCTCAAACCGTGAAATCAGTTACGGAAACTAACCGATTGCGCTGCTATACTTATTCGTGACTAACTTTTGAAAAAAAAAATCAGTGTTGTGTGTACGTTTTCTTTTCTTGTAATTACTTTTATGTGCATTGAAATGCTTATTTGTAACTGAAGTTTTGAATTCCACGTCAATAGCATCATTTTCACTTCTCGTTTGTTAAGTCTTACATGCCTCATCAAACGTGAACAGTGACAGCCGATGGTGTCACGAATGACGCGAAAAGTCCTCATGTGATGAGATCACTCTGTGACTTTTTCACGACGTCGCACGATGCTAAAATTTATGCCCTTCCTATAACGTCAAATAACATGACGTCAGATGAAGGCGTCATCACGTGGCGCCATGGCTAAGCCAGAGGCGCGGAAATTTTGAAAGCACTGCAAAACCGAGATGAGGCGAAGAAAGCTCGCGGAGGTGCGATAAGAACCATTGACTTAGAAGAAAGAGATGGGTAACTCATTCAAGTAGTGTTGAGCAAGTGCATAAGCACTGTACCACATTGCAACGAATTACGAATGGCGCAGAAGCAACGTATGAAATGCATAATGCACCGTATTACTTTTCATGAGCAATCTGGCACTGAGAGTACGTCACAAAGCACCAACACTACTACAACTACTACGAATACAATCACTGCTACTTAGTTACTTACTTATAAAATGACCGTATTACCTTACTCACCTAATTGCTTCGTTACCTATATTTGCTACTATTGTCACGCTTTGTCATAATTAGAACAAGGGCGAGAGCAAAGGCGGCCTGTTTTTTTTATATTTATTAGCTGTTGTTATCTACGAAGGCAAACGAAAAATGAGAGTACACCAGGGACTCCCATTAGCTCACGTACCGTCTCTCTCTTGGCCCTAGTGCTGAAGACGTAGAAGAGTTCGCCCACGGCGAGGATGCCTGCGATGATGAAGCCCACGTAGACGATGACGAACGCGCCTGCAAGGTCCGCGCCGGTCAGCTGGCGAATCTGTACGCGTGCCTCGAGCGAGTGGGCCTCTTCGTCTTCTTCGTCGCTGTCGCCGTCTCCATCGCCGTCCACGTCATCGTCCTGTCCGCAGTACTGGTTGGGCTTCCACCAGCGTTCCTGGAGCCACTGAAGGCGCCCGTCCTCTTGGAGCTTGAGAATGCCCTTGGACAGCAAGCTTCGGTATTCAGAGCCTAGGATAGAAAGTGGACAGACAGAGAAAGAGAGACAATTGTTGTGATAGGAAGGCTGAGACACCGGCCTGAAACACTGTTCTGACCTGCTGCTTGACCCAGCTGTTAGTTCTGCCACCAGAAATTTTTTTTCGAGCAGGAATGGAGCTTAGCCAGCTGTTATATAGGTTCATGCATGTGTCGTGTTTAAGTGCGTTATATGCATGTAATAAACGCATGCAAAACTGGGTCATCGGAGGAGGGAGGTTTACATACCCCAAACAGACACGATAACAGGTAGTGGCAAAGATAGGAATGCTTACAAATCGGCAGAAATGAGGTCTTGTTCGAGTAGCAAGTCATGCCCTTGCGAAAATGCTCTATAGCGTTTCTATTGGCTAATGCATGCGCCCTTCCTGAAACAATTACTATTCAACCAATGCTTGATGTCTGTTTTCGAGGAACGGATGAAGATATAATTCGTTATTGACACCTCCAAAATACCTTTTCATTAGCGGAGCCTTTCAAGAATTTTGTATGAGTTGCGAACTTTCTAATGGGCTATAGAACACCGGTTGCTTTAAATAGCATAGGTAGGAATATTTACTGACCCGTACATTGGCTCGCACTAGTTCTACAATCATTTTACAGATGTGAGGGTGGCGCTGGAGGTATTAGCTTGTAACGAAGAGCGTCAATGCATGCGAATATGAATGAGTAGAGTGAGTCTGAGTAAATCTTAGACATAACAGTCGACAATCTTGATTGTGGGTGGTCGCGCACATTTTTCGAATTTTTTTGGTAAGTGAATGATCCAGTTCCCCTTCTTGTACTATTGGCGTCACATGAAACTTGAAGAGCGGTGAGGGTTGCCATAGTAAACTATGGCAACCCTCCAGTCACCATCATTGACGGAGTGCGCATCCGGTTAAGAAGCACTGCGCCTATGCGCGCCTGCCCATCGTCATAACTGGAGGGCACTCACTATACCATTGCGAATACTTGCCGCTGTACGGGTTTCATTTGACGCTGACTGTGCGAATGTGCGCCCATGTGCTTGTGTGTATGTGTGGATGTTCACGCACTTCACACGTGCACACACACAACCCTAGGGAAAATATCAGCAGGTTTCAAGCCTCCAAACCACACCCCCTGGCACCGCTATCAACTGAGTCAATGAATACGAATGAGATTTTGTTTGAACACGTATGTGGCCCTGTTCGAGAAGTAATTAAGAACAAGCGCGATTGTCAGCACGAGTGCGTACTGGTAAATAGTGAAAGAAGTCACTTCGGACACGAGTGAGTGTTATGTGAGCTCGAGAAGGTGCCAGCAAGAACGTGTGCGGCAGCCAACCTGTGTGAGTGACCTGAGGCTCTACGTTGTACTATTAGTAGAAGTACTATTAGTACAAGTACTATTAGTAGAAATACGATGTTTTATATGGTATATCATTATGTATACAAGACAACAAGCAATTTGATTAATGGTCATTCCTGGTGGACTTGCTCTCGCCTTCAGGTCACCTGTCGATTTCAGCCGGTTACCTTAATTCCGTAAGCACGTGTGAGCTTACTACGACCTTTTTTAGTTCTGGACGCTAGCTCTCTGATCTGGCATGCATGGTTAAAATTGTTTCATCATACAGTACAGTAGGTCCCCTTTCAGCCTTGTGCTATGGGACCTCCTTCTGTATATACTAACCCGATGCGTTTATGTATTTTGCAACAAAGATGTTTTTGATAGATAGATAGATAGATAGATAGATAGATAGATAGATAGATAGATAGATAGATAGATAGATAGATAGATAGATAGATAGATGAATAGATAGATAGATAGATAGATAGATAGATAGATAGATAGATAGATAGATAGATAGATAGATAGATAGATAGATAGATAGATAGATAGATAGATAGATAGATAGAATCAAACTTTAGTGATGAAGCAGCCAGCACTGAGTAGCTACAAAATGGGCTCATGAAGTTGAGTGCTGTCGATTCAACTTTTTCGCGGATGCATTCACAATCAAACCAGTTGTAAGAACTGGTTAGGATAGTTGCCTCACCGGTACGTCTATAATAGAGCACAGTAAGTAACACAGGCTCCTAGTGAGCGCAATGCGTACACTTGCACCAATATTTGTTGTAGTATAGACTGCCAAGAAGCGAGGTGTCATAATTTCGGCTCCTATGTATCGCGCTCAGGCAAACACATTGTCCAAGAATTGAAGGTTTTCACAATACACAATCACATTGTGTTGATGAGTTTGGGCTGATAAGAATGTGTAGGAGTGCAGCTTGTCATACTCATGATAATCCTTTTGGTGATGCATTGACTACATACAGATAATGACATATGTAGAACACCGAAAAAGACCAGAAGAGCTAAAGAAAGAAGTAAAATCTATTTTTTATTACTTTTTATACACTGTGGTATTTATTTCATTAAGAAATTCAGAAGTATGCTTGATGAAATAACATAACTCGTACAACACTCAAACAAACATTACGATTCATATAATGACGCACAAGAAGTAGTGGTTGTACACATTTGAGGAAAAAGATGTTAAAAATAGCGTTCAACAAAATGGAAATAAACAAAAACGAGAAAAAATAAAGCTGAAAGCTTCGCAACCTCCCCAGCATTCTACCTTGCGTTTTCAGAACTCGTACTGCAAAGGCAGTACGTTTTGAACGGTTTGTCGTTGATACAGTTGGAGTGTGTTCCAGTCAACTCGAGTCTGTTTATATAGCTCAAATGATACTTCGGCACACTACTGTCAATTACGGCACCAAACACTTCGAAAGTCACGTTTCGCGTGGTCGTCAGCTCAACTCGAAGCTCTAGCCTGCCGATACCTTCGCCACCTCCTATGACGTCCGCTTTGTTCACGCGATCTAGTTCCCACCGAACGCAGCGGCCCGGGAAGTTGGCCTGGGTCGCGTCGTTCATGTGATCGATGGCAAATCTGGCAAAGAGAGGAAGGTCCACAGCGTACGGCAACACCGTGGACCTCGAACCGAGACAGGCGCAGGCGTCGGGCTGTGCGAAGACGTCACCGCATGACCTCTTGTGTGGAAACGGCCGTAGTAAGCTCAAGCCCCTCTCTGTAGAGCTGTGCTTGTCGTCGGGCCATCGGGCCAGGGCCAAAAGCGTCGCGTGGATGTCGTACGCCGACACCATCCGGCGCTGGTTGACCTCGAGGGCGACAGCTACGTCCGGATTCCTTCGAAGGAACGCCTCTGGCATCACCAAGAAGCCGAATGGCGCCTTGACCTCGTGGTCGCCGATGGACGAAGGAAGAGCCATGCTCCCGACACGCTTGCCGTAGTTACTGAGAAGCAACAGAGCCGTTCTGTTCAGCACACCACTCTCGGTAAGGTTTCTAAGGAAGAACTTTAGAGGTTGGTCGAGGTAACCGATGGCATTGACGTCACCGCGGACGTGCTGCGAAAGCCAGACGTATCCAAACTTGCGCACCGGGCCCGTGTCCAGCTCAAATAGGGCATTCACGTACTTCAGCAAAGCCTCCGATCTCGAAGTGAGGCTCTTACACGAAGCGTTCCGCTCCTGCTTTTCCATGGCTTGCACGAAGGTCCTGGTACTATAATCGACAGGCGGGTTTCCATACCCCCACCGATCGTCCACGAATGGAGAACCGTCTTTGGCCGAGTCGAGTGCGAAACAGCGTCGCATAGCCTCGTCCGGAGTACGCGCTGACCAGGTGTAGCGAGGACGTGGAAGTTCTGGTCTTCGGACAAACTCGACATCTCGCGCACATCCAGGCCAGCCAAGAGCGAAACCTGGCTTTGTAGCGGGTCAGCTGGTGACGGCGGTGAATCCTAGGAGCTCGTACGCCTTCAGCTTGCTCGAAAGGTACTTCCGCGTCTTTCTCAGGTGTCGCATCGAGTTGAGCCTGGAGACGGAGTCGATGCCTATTACGAGCACCGAAAGTTTGTCGCGAAAAGCCGCCCAGGGGCTGAACCACTCGCCTTGACCGCGTCGCAACGCCGTATTGAGTCGCTTCTTCTGAACTGGCAGCAGGTGAAACTCCGTGAAAAGGGGCATCCCGTCTCGAACACAAGTTATTTGTACGTGCTCTTCGAGCAGATGTTCGCCGAAGACGAGCGGTCGACGCGGCCCGGTCTCGACCTCCTCGGCTACCCCTATGCCGCTGCTGACTCCTACAACGGCGTGGTAGTGGCACTGCAGGGAGCTTGGTGTCAGCCCGTAAGTGTCTTCGAGGCGCTTCGCGTTCAACAGGGGAACGCTGACGTTGACGAAAAAGACGAACTGTTCGATGCCGCGGCACTTGTTCTCGATGCTTAATCTCCTGCGGTACAAATACGCAACCGACCAGTGGAAAGGCTCGTAGAGTGGAAACAGGCACTCAGACGTGTTGATCACGTAGTGAGGGCCGTCCGACTTGATGGACAAAGACACTCGCTTGAGGGTGGCGAGCTCCAGCCGTGACGTCAAGTAAATCATCCATGGCACGAGGAGTGCGTAGAGGGCCGCTATGCAAAGAAACTGCCGCATAGCTCTTCGCGACCACCGATGAGCCCCAAAAAGACCCATCACTGCTTCTCTCTTGTCTCGTTGTCCGATAGGCCTACTTGTCCGCTCTGACAGCACGCGCTGGATCGTGCTGGCGATGACGACACGTAAGTATGGCACGTACCCACGAAAGGTATCAGCCTAGATTCGGTTTTTACGACTACGAGTATGACAAACAGTTAAACACCGAAATCAATAATGAATGTCAAAAGCCAAAAGATTAAATACAAAGTGCGTAAGTAAGAAGTATTCATCATTGAAGTTGAGGTCTTAAAGAGATTGCACAACTCTATTGCTGACCCGAATATCGTAGGAGGTGCATTTCGATGGAGGTAGGTGCAAGAGGCTCCCGTGCACGTATTGCAAGGAGCATCATCAGCATCATCATCAGAACGCCAGGTGGTCTAAATTTCCGCAGCCCTCCACTAGAGTGCCTATCATAATGCTATCGTGGTTTG